AGGCATATCGCATCGACATACTTCGCAGCAAAAACACCGCAGTCACAACCGTTAGCATTCTCAGGTAGTCCCTCCACATACTCAATCTCCAGTTCGTCTCTATCAGAGAAAGATTTTGACCCAGCAAGGAGACAAGCCTTAGGAATAAGACGACTTAGTTTATGAACTACACTCTCCACATTGACCCTTAGTCTCGGTTGGCAGTCAAAAACTTGAAGCAATTTCTCATTGAAATCCACCAGAATGGCGTTCCAATGGCAACTGATTTGATCGTCTGAAAGGGATGGAATGTTAAGTACACTTACAAAGCCATTGTAAGTGTTCAAAGGCGTTCCTGCACACCCAGTTGGAAGGCTTCCTTCGAAGTACGGCTTCAGAGCTCCCAGAGTTGACAAGTCACCTGATTTTTCCCACCACTTGATGTGCTCCGTGAAAATAGTGTCAGCAACCATATAATTGCTTCCTATGTAGGTCACCGGGTTGTTCATAACGCGGAGTCGTAACTCATACATTGCCTCCTCAATATGCTACAAAAAAAAACAACAACATATTTCAGAAGTCTGTACCATGTGACCAAGTAACTATGATACCATGTGACTGAGTGCAATGGTACCATGTGACTGAGTCCAATGGTACCATGTGACTAAGTCATTTGGTACCATGTGACTTGGAGCAATGGTACCATGTGACTGAGTCATTTGGTACCATATATCCAAGATACGTGTGACCTTGTTAAGTAAGATAACTTAATGTAAACTTACAGTATCTGTGAGCCATACTCCCACTTGTAGAAGATCTTCCCAAAATTTTGACGTACGTATTCCATCCAATTTTGACTTCCACAATCGCGTCTCTCGCGGATTCTTCATAAACTCCCATAGAGCGTTGGCCCGTGGACCAGATGTTTCTACAAATCCTGGATTCCTGATGAGACCTCCACGCGGGTTGACACGCTCTGGATTCCATACAAATACCTTCTCTTCACTTGACGAATGCAGAATTCCTTTCTCAGTCTCGACCGCAACAATGTCATCCTCAGAAGCTTCTTCCTTATCGTCGTCTTCCCCAGCAACATCCTCCTGGGCAGTGTTATCTCGACCTCTGCCGCTGCCCCTACCTCTGCCTCTGCCTCTGCCTCGGCCTCTGCCTCTGCCTCTACCTCTGCCTCGACCTCTGCCTCTGCCTCGACCTCCTACAGCCTGAGATCTTTGTCTTTTGGCCGGTGGACCAGTTGATGTTGGTTCTACATAAGGGCTTCTTTTGGATGGTCCATCAGTAAGCTTCCTCTTTGTTCTTTTCAACTGTTCTGTATCAGAGGAGTCAACTGTTGGTGGAGGTTGATTGACTTCATGTTCAACAGGGGGGTTGTCACATGTTTTAATTAATCTGTGCATAACTTGTGTTTTGTTCAGAAAATGTCCCCGAAGAAGATGCTGAAGAGAATGATAGTGACGATGATGCTGGCAGTGGCGATGAGAACACGGAAGAAGAGGGTGACGCCGATGGTGATGAGGGTGAGACAACCGATGAAGATTCTGAAAAGGATGACGCCGATGGCGATGATACCAATGGCGAAGAGGGTGAGGGAACCGACGACGATGATACAGCAGCTGAATCTTCTGACAAAGAATCGGCTGCCAAAACCAATGAAGACACAGATATGTCTGCCCCCCCTGTTGAACATGAAGTCAATCAACCTCCACCAACAGTTGACTCCTCTGATACAGAACAGTTGAAAAGAACAAAGAGGAAGCTTACTGATGG